AAAGAATATTCATTGAATTTATAAATGAGATGCTCTTTACACATTCTCGAATTATTTCTCTTTTTACGTCCCATTTTCTTCCATTTATTTAAAATATAAAATGGAATTAAATTTTAAAAAAAAATTACTAATTTTTTAATTAAATTAAAATTAGAAAAAAAAATAAATAATAGTATTTATTTGTTTGTTTTTTTTCTTTTCCTTTTTTCCTTCCAAATCCTAACTTTTTTTTTTTTGGGAACATTATGATAATGAGGGTATATAAATGGGAAATGTTAGCAGAGGAAATGAATAGAAATAGCCTTAGGGTAAAAATGGACAATGGTCAATAGAATTAGTCAGTTAGTTCTACATTAAATGAAACCTTATTGAAATATAAAAACTGGATATATTCAATAAGAATGTGAAATGAGAATGTTTGGGATGGAATGAAATGCATTAACTAACAACAGAGAAAGATAGGATTGATGATGAATAGGATATTTGTGAATTTATTCATAACATAAATATGGTCATTTACTTTAGTGACCAATTGTATAGCAAACATTTTTATTTGTTTATTGAATACTTTTTTAAAAAATTTCTTTATTTAGATTGTTAAAATTTTTACAAATAAAAATTTAAATTAATGGTCATTTTAAAAGAGAAAATTTTTTGGAAAGAAAAAAAAAGGGCTAAAAATGAAGTATTACTTCATGATTCTTTCAATACAAAAAAAAAAAGATCATTAAAAGAGCAAAAATCGTCCTGTCACATTTTGTACTTTTGTGAAGCAAGCAATTATGTCATGGAGACACATGAAAAAAGTTCATCAAATAATATGTCACATAATTTTCACGATAAGAATTAATCAAAATTGAAAGAGGAAATCATAGGAGAGTTAAACAAGTTTAAATTAAAAAAAAAAGTTTAAGTAGAAAAAAAAGGTATGTTAAATCCCCCTAGCAATTCCAATTTGATCAGTTTGTGACTTCTTTCGTAGTTAATTAAACGATCATAGTAATTAAATTAATGCCTAAATTAAGGAATTTACTGGTCAAATTTAAGAACTAATGATAACATAACACTAATCTTAAGCAAGATTTAGGCAGAAATAAAAAATTTAAATCTAAAATACATTTCGTCCATAACTTTCAATAATTCAACAATTTAACTAATTTAATTAATGAGTAAAATTACATTCAATTGGTACTAAAAATCCTACACCATTTATCACAATTTTAGAAATGGTATAGTTTTTGCGCAGAAGTCGCAAAAAAAAAAAAAAAAATCATTTGCGCATGAAATTAATAATAGCATCTGTAAGCATTAAGTAGAAAAAAACAATAATAAAATGAAAGTTAAAAAAAAAAAAGAAAAGAATTTAAATGATATTTATTAAAACGATTTCATATATTCATTATGGGAAGACAATTGCGCCATTTTATATATGGAAAAGTGGAAAATATAATTGGAATTGGAAAATGGAATTGGAAAAATTATAATTGGAAAATATAAAAAAACCTATTGAAGATTTCAGTAAGGCATGAAGAAATCTAAAATATCATAGTTAAAATATTAAATTAAAAAAAAATTTTTACAATAAAATTTTTCCAATCTAAAGTATTCATGAAGAAATAAAGTTTTTTTTTCTTTCTCTCTCTCTTTTTACTTTATATTTTTTATACACTTTATGAAAAATAATTGAAAGGATAGAAATTTCAATGTAATCTATGTGACAAATTATGTTTAATTAAGCTTAATTTATTTCAGATTTACATTTAATTATATTTTACATCATTCCATATTTATATTTAATTTTTTAATTTAATTAAATTTACATTCAATTTACATTTAATTAGGTTTAATCTATTCCAGAATCTGAAATTGATAGATTATCAGTGATGGGTTAATTAAATTTGATTTATTTCAATTCGTTTCAATTTAAAATTATTCTTTCTAATATAACCTTCTTATCATTCATTTTTCCACTTTTATGATTGACATATGACCATTTTTTTGGTGAAATTATCAAATGAAAAACATCTCAAAGGAGAAATCAATTCACTAAATTTTACTATCCTAATTAATCATCATTCATTCTCAATTATTACTACTGCTACTACTACTACTACTATTATGTCAAATAAACCAATAACAATGTTAGGCGCAAAAATACTAATAGCGCTTAAAATGAACGAACTTTTTCGTTGATAAATACGAACAATTGTGAAGAACCTTTTCAAATGCAAAGATTGATGGGAGATAAAAAAAAAGATGAAAAAAATTTTAGCAAAAAGATAAATAGGAGAGGAAAGAGGGAGAGAGAGAGAGAAATGTGATTAAAAGTTTCACTGATAAGCAAAAATCCTTCCTCTTAAATATTATCCGAAATAAATTTCTAACTTGTACTTACTATTACAATTCATTTATTATCATTATCATTATTATCATCATTTATGATAACAGTTATCAATTTGTTTGATAATATAAGATTCATTTCAAAAGAATGCAATGATTAATTTAATGAGTGAATAGAAAGTATGATTGGATTCAGATTTCTATTCATTTCTGGATGATGAAAATAAAATAGTATTGCAAAAGAGAAGCAGAGAAAAGTATAAGAAAAGAGAAAACCGGTTATCTTATCCGTAAGAGTTTACATCTTTCAAAATATAACATATATCAAGAAGATAAATTAAAATTCTATATAGAATTAGTACATGAATAAATCAATATTTATTTCTTTCCATTCGATATAATGTATTCATTATAAGTGAACGAATTCCGATCCGTTCAGGAATAGAAAATAAAACGGAAAAAGCATTGTTGTGTGTAGTGAAATTCCGGTTTTGTGAAGATTTTGCAAAATAAATCGGTTGAAATAGATAAAGCTAGGGATTCCGATCCATTCTCAGATTTCAGGAATAGAAAATAAAACGGAAAAAGCATTGTTGTGTGTAGTGAAATTCCGGTTTTGCAAAACAAATCGGTTGAAATGGACAAATCTGACGTATAATTCATCCAAAGTGTCACATGAAAATTTGGAAAGAACAGAAAAACATAATGAAATTCATAATAATTGAAATTTTCAAGCTAAGAAAATGACCTAAACGTGAGAAAGTAAGAAAATGTCGACACAATGACATTGCTAAATATTACAGTATCACTTAAAATTTTGTTGACTTTTAAGGATAAACGATAAAAGTAAGTTGCTCAAATTTAATTCCATTCAACCAAATTACGATAATTACATCAATTATCAATACTGAA